CGTGGTTAGAGCTGGCCACGAGAATGTCATTGATATAAGCAAAAACAAAATCAAGTCCTCGGACAATCTGATCAATGAATCGTTGAAATGTTTGTGCGGCGTTTCGTGGTCCGAAAGGCATACGGACAAATTCAAAAAGGCTGAAGGGAGTGGTTACAGCTGTCTTGGGAGTCACCAGAGGTGACAGGAATTTGGTAATATGTAGGTATGTATGTGTGTGTATGTGTGGGTGGCGGGAGAGCCTATGGTGCGCTGAGGCTGGTGGTGGCTAGATCCTGACAGATGGTCTACCCACTGCTGCTACTGTTGCGCCATAGTCTCATGTCCTGGGCGCCTCCACGTGGCGACCGCTGGGTGGGAGTTAGGTTTCGCCCTTCTCCCTGCTAAGATCCAGGACACCAATCCGCATGAGTCGGCAAACTGACCATGTGCTAGACCCGCTGCCTTTCGGGTGTTCATTTAATCGAAGGCTTTGGCTGAGGACCCGAGTCGTTCTCCTGTCAGGATTGGGCGCCCTGGCAGTATCCTAGTCCATCCTCTCCGGAGGTTAGGAAGTGGTCGATGGCCCACTTCCCGTAAAACCTAGCCATGGGAGACAACGGGTTACGGGTGATATTCTCAATGCTCGATTGGCGTAGAGCACGAGTGCCACGCATTGTCTCTGACGGTGGGAGGACACCTCCGGGCGTTCAATGGTTTGCGGGCAGTAGCCCGCCTCAAGCCAGGCAGCCCCTGGTCAAATTGGTGCAAACCCGCCAAAAACCCACCTGCGTCTGGCCGTGGTCGCAGGTGCGTATCCAATTACGGTCGCAAAACATATGATAATTGTTCCAGAACCTCAAAGGCTGCGTGTGACGGCCGTCAAGCAGATCCCCATCTGTCTCTGCAATCACATTCCCGAGCTGGATCTGCTCTCCACTGCCTTGTGGGTCAGGCTATTGAGCCAAAGTCTCCGGGTGGAGTCTCTCAAGCAAACCTCCAAACCACCCACTGCCTTGTGGGTCAGGCTATTGAGCCAAAGGCTTCAGGTGGAGTCCCTCAAGCAAACCTCCGAAGCACAACGACCACCTCGCTTGCGATTGCCCACCAATGCAATCGTATGCCTGCGCGCAAAGCACTCAGCATCGGGTGCTGGAACGTGCGCACACTACTGGACCGGAACTCGAGCGAGCGCCCGTAGCGACGCACTGCACTGGTCGCGATGGAGCTGGCGCGCTACCACATCGATATTGCGGCGCTCAGTGAAACTCGGCTCGCTGAGCAAGGTAAGTTACATGAAGCAGGTGCTGGCTACACATTCTACTGGGTGGGGAACGCCGCCTCAGCACCACGTGAACATGGGGTCGGATTTGCAATATCCGACCGCCTGAATGGCCAGCTGGTGGGTGAACCAACGGGCATCAGCGCGCGGCTGATGACTGTTCGCCTGCGACTCGGAAGAGGTAAGTTTGCTACTTTTATAAGCACGTACGGTCCGACCATGTGTTATCCTGATGACACGCGTGATCAGTTCTACACTGAGCTATCCTCCGTGATACGGTCTGTGCCGAGGAGCGACCGACTATTTCTGCTGGGTGATTTCAACGCGCGCGTTGGGCGTGATGCATCAGCGTGGACAGATGTTATCGGTGCGCATGGCATTGGTTCAGCGAATGCGAACGGTGACAGGCTGCTCTCACTGTGTGCCACTCACGGCCTGACGATCACGAACACTCGGTTTGCACTGAGTGCGAGTGATATAGCAACTTGGATGCACCCACGGAGTGGTCACGCTCACCTGCTCGACTATGTCATCGTACGTCAGCGTGATATGCGTGAAGTGCGCATGACACGTGTACTGCGTGGAGCTGAGTGTGGCACTGATCACAAATTGGTTCGGACCAAACTGTACATATATTTTCGTAAATCGATGTATTGCACTCCCGCCGTGAATCGGCGTAAATTTAACATTCTCTCCCTCGGTACTGTGGCGAAACGTACTGAGCTGGAGAAGGCGATGGCTGCACGCCTGTGTGGTGATGTGGACTGTATAGCCACAGTGGGCGACCTGTGGCACCACATTCGCGACCGGGTGACAGCTGCTGCGGAGGAGACCATCGGGCGCGCAAACTGTAAGCGGCCTGATTGGTTTGATGACAACAATGTGACGATTGACGCATTGGTGTCAGAGAAGAATGCAGCATTTGCTGCACATGTGGCAGACCCCAGTGACTTGGGGAAGAGTAGTCAGTTTCGCAAACTTCGACGGCGACTGACCCGAGAGCTCCGTCGCATTAAGAATGCATGGTGGACGGAGAAGGCGAAGCAGATGGAATGCTACGCCGAACGCCGTCAACACAAGGAATTCTTTGACTCCTTGAAGGCGGTGTATGGACCGAGATTGGAGCCGCTGAGGACACTGATCGATGGTAGTTCAGGCGCTACCTGCACCCAGACTGCAGACATAATGCAGATCTGGCGGAAACACTTTGACTGTCTCTTGAACAACCGTTCAGAGATCGACTGGCCTACATTGGATGGCCTGAAGCAGCACGATGTGAAGGCGGATCTGGCGGATACGCCGAGACTGGATGAGACGCAGAGAGCACTTGCTCAGCTGCGAAACGGCAAGTGTGCTGGGGCCGACAGGATCCCGCCTGAAGTATTGAAATACGGCGGACCCGCGTTGTTGGCTGCGCTGCACCACTTGGTGCAACGCGTGTGGATTGAGGAGGAGGTGCCTTCTGAGCTGAAGGATGCCCTTGTGCTACCACTGTACAAGGGCAAAGGGAGCAAGCAGTGTTGCACGAATTATCGTGGCATCAACTTGCTGAGTTGTGTGGGCAAGGTGATTGCCCGAATCCTGCTCAATCGCCTCGTGAGTCAGATTGTGGAACCAAACGTGGCGGAAGAGCAATGTGGATTCCGTTCGGGTCGCAGCACTATAGATATGGTGTTTGCGGCTCGTCAGTTGCAAGAGAAGTGCAGAGAACGACACCAGCCATTGTACTCGCTTTTTGTTGACTTCACCAAGGCATTTGATACGGTGAACCGCGAGGCACTGTGGCTGGTGTTGGGTAAGTTTGGTTGCCCGCGTAAGTTTGTAAGTTTAATTGAATGTCTGCACAGTGGTATGCGAGCGAGGGTGCAGCTGAGTGGAGAGACCTCTGATGACTTTACAGTTGTCTCTGGTGTGAAGCAAGGCTGTGTGTTAGCTCCTGCCCTGTTTAATATCTATCTTCATGCAATGTTGTCTTGTGCTTTTGATGCGGCTTGTGCTTACGGTGTTCGTGTGGAGC